GTGGGGGGGGGGGGCGGTGCGGTGGGGTGAGAGCACCTGAACTCTTTTGGTAAATTTCTAGTGTTCACTACAACATTACTAACTGCAGACATCATGTCCAGTAGGCAGCCGTTATCATTCCACTCCTAACTCAGCTTTTCTAACTGAGATTCACAAGTATTCAACCAAATACTTGTGGTTGAACACTGTACATGCCCTAATATTGGCGAGATTGGTTATTTTGTGAACTCTATACTTACCTGTATGACAAACTAGAGAAAACTATGAAAAAGTTATGTAAAAGTCTGTAACTCTGTAAGGTATATATAGCAGGGACTCACTTAGACAACCTCAAAGAAAATAGAGGAAATCAAATCGTTTAAAAATTTTGAAGAAGGCAAATTTAAATTCTCAATACATTATGAGATTTAACATTTTTTTATCTTCTTGTCTGATGAGTGAATAAATATAGTAAAACTATTAAATACAGTAGTGTCAGGTGGCCTTTCAGCCTGGGGGAGCTCAAGCGTGTCCGAGGAATGATTTACCGGTGAGCAAATCAGTACAAAGTCACAGAAGTCTTTAGCTTGATCCAGACCAGGAAGTCACCCTCCAAGCATCTGCTACCTGATTTTAAAGACCATATCCGAAACAAAAAGAAGCAGTCATTTATGTATCATATGTCAAATCCTAAGGCACAGCTGTTTTTGAAGACTCTATTTTATTTTCTTTGCCTGTCTCAGAAAGAGAACTGCTGACCTGTTAGGGTAAAGCCATACTTTGTGTAGCTTTAAAGATCAGTCCTGCATCAGGTTATTCTACTGCTTCCTACTGGCAAAAACCAAGCATAGAAGTCTCAAATTCTGAAATTGACTGGAATACTGATGAAGAAATTACTTGAGCATAATAAGCAAGATCACTGTACTCAAATCTGTGTTTATTATCAAGTTTGCCTCCAAACTCTGCACGTGGGAGAAAAGTGAGGCTTTACTGGGTTTTAGAACTTTGTAAGCTCTCTCGGGAAAACAAGTTACTGGGTTTTTGGCATGTCAAGGACTCATTGTTAAGATTGTTGAAGGACTCCATAAGGAAATCCAATAAATAGAACAGCATGTCATTAGTGAGCAAGAAATAAGCATGCGTGGTGAAATCTGTGTCCGGTGTACTTCACACTGCACAAAGAGCATATTTTATTCAAACTGTTCGAAGTTAGTTGTATCCTAAAGACAACTCTCCAGTGATGCCTAGTGTCCTGCCTCCTAGGTGGTGTTTCTAGATTTTAATTTGTGTGTGGGGGGAGCATGGGTCAAGTGAAGGGGGTCACTGCTACTTGAAAGTTGGCTGTATCTAGGAAGGGTCAAATCAGGTCATCTACAGTGTGACCTTCCCTCATCTCCTCAGGGAAATTGCATTTCAATGTGGACCAAAGGCTGAAGTCGCAGAATTGAGGCATTAATCACAGGATCTCAGAAAACAGCTTTTTGGGAAGCTTAAGGAACAAGACAGGTGTAGGTCTCATACATACAGAGTGTAGGTCTGCCCTTCTCAGGACTAAAACTTCAAATCCTTGGTACAGATTGTCCTGGAATCCTAGAGTCTGGTTTGACAGATTATCAATTCCAGAATCATAGAGGGGCATACACAAGGAGGACTCGTATCAGGTGGAGTGGAATAATTATTTCCTTAGTGAAAAACTACATTCCAGGTTACTTACAATAGCTGCCTTGTGGGGAGGTTGGGGAGAGTTGTAGTGGGTACTTTTTTGTTTTTGTTTTAATACTTGGGAAGATGTTTCAAGCAATAATATATTAGATGTGCAATACTTTTGTCAGGCGGTATGTGCTGGCCTCGGAGGGGTGAGAATTGTTACAGCAGGCTGCTTTTATTTATCAAGCTAAGATGGATGTGCCTTTCAACAGGCCCCTTCTGACAATATGGTTAATTTACTATTTGAGCTGGAGTTCAACCTCACCAGGAATGGAACTGGATTTTACAAGGTTCCCCTTGTCCAAACTACAGCATGCTTATTGCTCTCTCCCCGTATTCCCCCAAATCTCAACCTCCAGAACCAGCTACCAGCAAATCATTTTATCAATTTTAATTGGTCTGGCCATATGAAGAACACCGTTTCTTTAAATCTCAAATGTTGAAGTTATCCTGTAGAAACCAACTCCCTATCAATTTTCTCCACATTTAATCCTCAGCTTCTTGTCATATTTTCATTTTTTCTGCATTGGTTCCCATGGTAACAAGTCTGTTGGCAGAGAAAGTGTGTCTCTGCTTTTAGCCTTCCGCACATTACAAAACCCTCCTAGTGATCCTCAAGCAAATGTCGTAAAGGGCAGGATGAGACTAATTTGTTAGGCTAATACCTTCAGTCTTTTACCCTACCACATGCATTTACCACCCTATCCCCAAACTAGTCACACTGACTCAAAAGACAGCTTTCAAGGATACTGTCCAGTATCCCTTCACCTGTAGACACAACTATTCAAAGGACCCTTCTACCCATGTACAGACGCAAGGATTGAATCTTTTGGTTTAGAAGGAGTCCTCTTCCATTATCAGTGACTTCACTGTCACGAATGCATAATCACTGCAATGGCCAGCTGGGAGTAGCATAGAGCAGCAATTGACACTCATTTCTCTATAAAATACTCTCAGATTGCACCTGAGATGTACACAGCCCAGGGCATATGTATGTCCTGAATTGAGCCTTAAAGACAGTGGGGACATTTAAACAGGTTTTCTCCTAAAAAGTAATTATGTGGCACGAGGGAAAGCCAAATTCTCATCACGGGGAACTGAGCTCCTGAAGATGAGGAAAACTAACAAAGATGTAGAGAAGTAAAGAGGACACTGGGACTGGTGGTTGGGTGGGAGCAAGGCGGCTTCATTCCGTTGGGGGAATTCAGGGTTCAACTATGGAAAAGGCAAGAAACCCACTGAAAACTGAGGAAACTGTGCATAGAGGAAAAGTTTTTAAGAGATGACTGTCTGAAGAAAGGGAACCTGCAAATGAGAGGATAATTTCATGCAGACTTTAGCCCAACTCTATCTACAACACATTTTTCCAAGTAGTGATTTCCTTAATTTTGTGGCTTGGCATTAAGTTATATGCCTAGCAACCCCAAATCTCCCGTGTCCTCAATATTCAGAAAAAGTAGGAACTGTTCATCAGAAATTAAACAGTCCTGATATTTGAATGTGCTTTTTTTTTTTTGAAAGGTTAATGAATTCAGGGGAATGAAAACAGATGTTAGAAATAAAAATGAGGATATCTCAGTCATAGTTATGAAAATTATCAAATGTAAATTATATTCCTTTTTTGTTGGGTCTTATAAAATATGTGGTACTTAGGCACTTTGAAGTTTTAGTTAGCTAATTATACTGTACAAAGATATTTTTGGCCATTTAAAAGTTATTTTCCTACATTAAGAAAAGTTTTCTTATATTAAAAACTTTTTGTGACTCAGGTTTCGTGTCTCTGTAGAGACATGCATACATAGGTGTTTTCCTTTGTGCACTTATTTCGCACAGGTAATGAGGTTAAATAATGCCCAGGTATGCAGGTCAACTGATCTTTATAATAGTTAAATTAAGAAAAGCATTTGGACAAAAGAAATCACATTGTATTTCTTTGCATCTTTCCATTCTTCTTCCCCAGCACTCTGCTAAAGAACGTCTCTTATTTAGTCAGGAAATCTTATGTAATTTTTTTGGAAAGTCTATAGGAAAACCAAGAATGAAACTCTCAGGCAGATAGAACATAAAGCTGTTCTCATATTTGTTAGAATGATAATTTTATTTTCACAATGTGGTGCTGAAATAAATTTTATTTTTAATATTTGTAGTCTTTCCACTCAGAGGAGCCTTATTGGTCTTGAATGTGTAAAAGGTGCCTGTTCAGGGCAGTAAGGAATATTTTTGTTGTATGCTAAGTTTTACTCTAGGATTTTTGGTCTTAGCTTTGATGACACAAGTTGTCAATGGAATGCAATAAATGTTTTAACACTGCTGTACGATGTTTAGGCATTTCCCTTCAACACCCTCAACTACATTTTCCTCCTTGAAAATGCAAGCCTTACTATTTTCTGTTTGGAATGAAGAGAAAGACAATTGATAGATAAACCTGATATTTTTGTCTCAAGAGCCAATCCAGTTTCTCCTTGTACTCTCTTTATAGAGGGACTAAAGGAAGCATACAATGACATTGTCTTCAGATGAAGGGGAAATTTTCCTAGTTGAATTATCAGAGGTAAATCTATTGAATTCTACTTGTAAACGTCAAAGACCATCTCAAGTACCTTACAAAAGGTACGAAAGTACTATAGTTTCATTTTTCCCATTTTATAGCCACCCAAAGGCACCCCTCCACCCAGATGTAAGTAAACCATAAGATGAACTATAGTCTCTTTCTATTTAGAGAAGAAATATTAAATTAACAGCAGCAATTCTAAGCAAAGACAGAGACTGGTTTTTAATTGGTTTGTAAAAAATTATAAGGAAAAGGGTGTTATGGTTTAAGTAGCCATGCAAAATATCTTCATTCCTAAACTATTTGATAATTGATTACTTTTTACCTCAGTTATTTGGAGGCATAATCCTTTTATTACTAATATAAATAAGTCCTAATTCCACATATTTATATTAATGTTTCTCTATATGCTAAGCACATGTACACACGTTTCTCACTTTTCATTTGAGGTCATATAATTTGGGTAGTGAAATATTTCACTCTTCTGTAACTTTAAGAAAAATTCCTACCCAGTGATGTAATAGTAGGCCACTATCATAGCAAAACAAAGAATCTCTACACTCATTTTTTTGACAACTGACTTCAGTACTATATGTGCAGCACAACAGTGACATCTTAAGGCCAAGTAACCACAGCTCCTTTAGCCAGAGAAAGAACTTGAATGGGGGTTTGTTTTCAAAGAAGTTCCATTACATTATCAAGTAGTTTTCAAGTTTACAATTTGCAACTGATAGATCTTTGTAAGTGCTTCTTTATTTATTACTTCTTTTTCAGTCTTTGTGGACACTTTAATGTGCACTAGTAAATGCTCACATTTTACATAGACATATTGTATATTAATGCATGCATTTCACTGCATAGTTTATTGACACTCCCCTTGTAAAGCTTTTATGGAAGAAACAAGCCACAGCAGTATAGCAAAAGAGGCTAAATCTTTATAAATTGGGGCCTTTTCTGTCTCTTTGCTAGCCTAGGTGGCAGTATACAAATTCAAGCAGGAGGGGGCAGGAAACACCTCTTAACATTTAAGGTTTTCTACATGGGTGAACTCTTGCCAATTCAAAACTAATTGCTTACTTTAATAAAAATTTTACCATTTTATAAAAAAATTAAATCACAACATGTTTAATTGAAATGGCTGTATTGTAATTAATATTTTGAGATAATTGTGATTTTGAGCTTAAATTATATATAAAAATTGTCATTTTTGTATGTGTGAAAACTGCTATATCACAATTAACAGTACTTTTTAGTTGAACTACATATTGATGTAAATAAAATTGAATGGAGACATATTTACTACTTTATTAACATAGATTGTGAATGTACTTAATGGTTTTTTCGCAGTATGAGACCATAACAACCTTGAAAAGCTGCTTTATTTTATGTGCAAAGAAGTCCTCTGAATGTATATTTTAAATTTACTGAATCAGTGAAATTGTCAGTTAATTCGCAAATGCTAGCTGTATCCTCCAGTTTTATTTTATGTATTGACACTAACCTATAAAGGTGTACAATGTGATTAGAATGCATTTTGAAGATGCTTTCTGTACAGATACAAAATACAGGGACTATAATAATGCTGTGCAGTGTATAGCAGGGCCATTTTTCGGCTTTGGTGTACTCAACTTTTTCAGTACTTAAAAAACATGTTTTGAATAACATAAAAGTCTCTTTATTGTATAAATAATAAAATGTCACCTTACTGTAAAGTGTCTTTTGTTTAATGTCAAAGCAAGATTTTTCTTAGTCAACCAGAAATGTAATCTGAAAAAAGCATGTTTGTTTTAAACAAAAAACAGACATTGTAATTAATATTTGAAAATGTAACTTTTACTATGAATATGTACTATTTATCTTTATTAGCAATGATTTTTTCATAATATGAGCATGCCTCAATCATCCAAAAGGTATCTGTCTGTCTGTCTAACTATCTAGCCATCTACCCATCTATCTATGTAAATTAATACACATTCTATTGATTGGCTACTTAATTGAACCACATGGTAAATTTTATAATGACTGATCAGCCTAGCCTACTTCTCGTGTTTCTGGTGTAAATAAAAATGTTTATATTTGATATTTATTAAATGAAGTTCACCTATAACAACTTCCCTTTTACAAAATTACTGCATGACTACAAGTTTAGTCTTATGAAGATTACAAGCAAATGTTAAAATTAAGGCCCTGGAATTTTTTAAAAAATGCAAAGGGTGGATTACAACACACCATCAGAGTAGATGATGTATACAAATAGCTGCTTAGTATTTAAGCAAAGTACATTTCAAGATATCTATGCAGTATACATTATTAGTTATGTTCTGTTGCTAATATCTATAGAATTAATAAAATCAGGTCTTCAGTACTTCCTAATAAAAAGAACAAAAAGTATTTTTACACTGATACCACTTAGGGAAAAATATGCAAATCCAGTCTCTTTAAACATCTTGAATCTAGAAGTACCAGATTATTGTATGGAAACCTACTACAAAGACATCATTTAAAAAACCCTGTCAAGTTTTAAATTCAAAATTGTGAGAGTAATTGTAACAACCCTTTTATTATTTTCTCCACCAATAACTATATTTGGTGTAGCATTTCTGTGACATTAAAAACCATGACTAAATGATTTCATAAAACATGGGGTAAAGGATAGAAACATTTCGACTAGATTAAAACAAAAACACCACAGTGAATGCTATTTTAAAACTTATGCTGAACCCAACTACATCACAAAAGTCCTATCATTGATAATGTAAAGTCTGATTTTTTTAATGTGAAAGAACAAATTCAAGTCAATTTTATATCAAATAAAAAAATCAAAATTGGATGGTCATACTCAAGTCAGTGGGTCACATTATATGTAACACAAACAGAATTGGGGGAAAAAATCACTTCCACAAAAATGCTTTGTCATCAAAATATTACACTACATTAAATAAAAATTCACTTCTGAAGAGACTGTCTTCTGTGTTATAAGGGAATGACAATGAGTACGATAAACCTTGTGCAAAACATTCAGAATGTATGTATGTACACTATACATGTTATCACCCTTACAAATGTACACAACACCTTAGAAAAATGTTAACTATCAGTGTAAGAATTCGAAATTATAAAACAACTCCAATTTAAGTAGGAATTCGGTCTCTCAAATACTCCAGAACAGCAGCTGTTCCTTTCATTAATATGGCTGCTCGAGGAACGCGGAATGGATTTCCATCTAGCAGTAATGTTCTAAACAAAAGAGAGAAGTTAAGAACTTTAACGTTTTTCATTAAGGAGGCTTTTCTTCTAATTTCACTTATAATTTTATGAATAAGATTTGTGTATTTTTTTCCCATTTGTCCGTTTCAAATCTAGGCATTTAAACAGTTGGAATTAGAACTGCAATAATAACCAAAACAACATTGACATGAAAGATAGTGTACTAAGTAATTTAAGTTCACTGACTCTCTTAGTTATCTTAACAACCCTATAATGTAGGTGCCATTAATATTTCTATTTAGAGATAAGAAAAAGGGAGGTAAGAAAGACTTGTCCAAGATCACACAGATATTAAAGAGAGGAGCTGTGATCTAAACCATAATTTAACCCATCTTTTTCTCAATCTTACAATACTAAATGGTTGATTTATACAGGGTGGGACAAAAGTAGGTTTACAGTTGTGAGTGCGCAGAACAGTTTTTATTAATTATTGTATTTTTTTCCATGCAAACAATTGCAAACCTGCTTTTGCCCACCCTACATGTACACAGCTACAGAACGCGCATACTGACAAGTATTCATACCAAGGACTAAAATGTAATCAATATTTCCCGCTTCACCTTGGGAAACATTGACATATGTCTGCCCTCTCCCACCCTTGACCAGATATACATATAAAAATCTATTTACTTGTTCTGAAATGAAGTTCAATTTAAAATTTAAGGACTTATTAATTTGTTTCTTTAATAATTAATGAAATACTTTAAATTATAAGAAATTTTTGTATTAATTTCCAACTGCTTAAGTGTTTATATAAACAAAAATCAAAGGATTCACACAATGTAATATATGGGAGATCTAAATTATACCTTCAAATATCTCCATGAGCCTTGGGAATTCTTTTAAAGATTGATTTTCTTAATTTATAGAAAGAAGTTAATTACAGTCAATCCTCATTATTCAGACTCTGTATCTACTGATTTGCCTACTCACTAAAACTTATTTGTAATCCCAAAATCAATACAGCTGACACTTTCAAGGTCATTTTTTGACACGCATAGAGCAGCAAAAAATCCGAGTGCCTGGAGACACATTCTCCACTGAGGTTGAGCAGGTGACACTGCCTTCTTGTTTCAGCTCTCATACTGTTAACAAGTGTCCTGCTCCTGGTCTATTTATGGATACATTTTTTGCATTTTTGTACTTGTTGGTTATTTCAGTGTTTAAAATGGCCTGCAAGTGTAGCACTGAAGTGCACTCTAGCTTTCTTAAACAAGAAGGGTGTCATGTGCCTTTAGAGAAAATACATATTAGCTTCATTCAGGCATGAATTCTAATGCTGTTTGGCCATATTTCAATGCTGATGAATCAATATTTAAAAAGGTGTCTTGATACAAAAACACACATTAAAATATAAAGGGTTATGTACTGATTGGCTGAAAATGCTGTGACCAGAGGTTTGAAAGAAACTAACCCTTATACCTAGGAGTAATGGTTCAGTATTCACTAATTTGATGTTTACAGAGACTTTATAGAATAAAACTGCTGCCAACAACGAGAATCTTGCCTCCTATAATTCACTAGTGAAAGCTACCAGAGCAGATGCCAGTGTTGCCCTAGTAAAGTAAAATGTGCCAAACCATCACATGCAGTTTTCAATCATGAAATTACTTTTTGACACATCCTGTTTGGCTTTCGGTTAACATCTCAAACTCCCTTTATAGTCACTGAACAAGCATGTATTGGGGGCAATGTCCTAGGCACTGGGATAACTCTTTTCTAAAGGAAGACAAAAAAATGGTATGAGGCTAAACAGAGCAGGATGGAAAATTAGAGGAGTGACTCTAGAGAATAAGGCAGGCTTTCAGATGTGATATTTAGACTGATTATTGATAAAAGCAGAGTGAAGGCATTTGAGGCTGTTGTAAGAGCAAACACAAAGAGTAAGAAAGACCAAGCCCTAGCATGAAGCCCATTTGAAATAAATGCTGGTAACCTGTAATCAAATTTTGAAAAATGCTATCTGCACAGCTAAATATATTTCCCTGACATTTTTATGCAGTAGTTTCAGGTTACACAGGGTGATGAGAAAAGTATCACTAGAAACAATCAGTTACTTTATTTACACATGTATGATACCATATAAACAAAGCTGAAAAAAAAATTAATTTGGTAAAATCTGGAAAACAGAATTGGTATTCTGGGTTTGTTACCTATTATTTTTAATAGAACATTACATTTTTTGCTTCAACATTCCTGCTAGCATACCTCAACAGGAAAAAAAAAAAATGATACTTCAACAATCAGTCAAATAAATGGAAAAATTTAGTACAATGGTATAGTTACCTTAAGTTCACACAATTACCAAGCTCTGGTGGAATTTGTAGGAGGTCATTATTTTGAAGGTCCAGTGTGATCAGATTTTCCATTGTCTTCAATTTTTCAGGGTCCACGGATCCAACCTGATTATTACTAATCAAAATTGTTTCAAGTGTGGTAATGCGATACAGAACTTCAGGTAGTATTTTGAACCTATTTAAATACATTGGAATCAGAGGCAAAATCATTCATTCAAATAGATGACCTTAAGTTTGACATCTTGAGATAAAGTTTTCCTTATTTTAGATTTGGTTTAAGTCTTATATTCAAATTTGCCAGAAAATAAAAAATATGAACTAATTTTGGAACCCTGAAATTATTTGTTAGATGGACAGATTTGTAGCAGTTCCCATTTACTGTATAAAATCAGACAAAAGTTTAAATTCTCTAATGTTTTCCTTTTCACAATCAAGAGACAAGCAAATCTTCCTGAGATTCTGTATAGAATATTTCCATGTAGGTATTCTTCCTTAGTTCACTTGTATTTCTTATGAAAGAGAATCACTGCCAAATTAAGTAAAAATTCAGGATTGCTATTTGCTTTGAATGAAATTTCAAAAACAAGTGCATTTTTGGTTCTTCCAAAAGATGACAAACTAGCATAGGCTGCCAGCTTCCTCATCCAAAGCAACCCTGAAGATGCCCCAAGAGAGATAAAAAGGCTAATGGCTCGCAGAGCAATTAACACAAGTCCTTGAGGATCTCTTGGGGGACAGAGGCTAGCAAGGTTTCAGTGTGAGACAAACTGTCTCTCGCAAAGTGGACTAAATAAGGTAAGGATGGGCTGAAGGAGAACTTAACAGCTGTAGCCTTTTCACTTCCCCATATTGCCCTTCTTTTGCTGCTTCAATAAACAAACAAACAAACAAACAAAAGCAATAGTAAAGGGTAAACTCAAAGCAGCTCTGTAGTTCCAAGGGACTGGAGAGCCAATAACCAGGGTACAGATGGACCAAACTGCCTCCAAGTAGTTCCTTCTCTTCTTTACCACCAACCCATTAACAAGGTAATTTAAAAAAGAAAAAAAAAAAAAAGATGTGGCTCAAAAAAAGTTAGGGTTAACTTTTGCCACTTCCCCAAAGACATTACTTGACAATGCAATTGATAACTTAATAGATAATTCAATAGAGAACAATAGTTCAATTCACAAGTGAAAATTAGGAGAGATCTGGGAAGTGCACATATTTTAAATAATGAGAATAGTGGTATAACCTACATAAAAGAATGCAAAGATAATGGACCAGGCAGAACAAAAATTTAAATAGGCAGCATTTCCACATCACTATGCCTTAGTTTCTTCATTTGTCAATGAGGAATAATAATAGTACGAAACTTACACACTTGTGCCACATGAAACTTCTTGAAATGTCCCAAACACAGTATGTTCTCACAACTTTGTGCCTTAGCACATGTCACTTGCTCTCCCTGGGATAACTTATCCCTGTGTGTCTGGTAAATGTCTGCCTGTTTTTCCTAAGTCTCAGTTTTAATGCTATCTCCTTTACCTTCAGGTAATTGCAGGAACCACCTTTGTGCATTGTGCTTCAATTGTAGCAATTATAATTATTAAAATGATTAAAAGAAATAAAAAGCTATTACATATCAATTGTGAAAATTCAAAGAAAGCAACATTACTTTCAACTCTAAGCAGAACTAAGTGAAAATAAACCTGGATATTTAAAGAAAGTAAAAATACAGGGCCTTTTTGTTTGGCTCTTTTAGTTGTATTCTCTAGTTACTAGACGTACAAATTTTTTAAGGAACAATAGTCATAGATTTGTCTGTTCTCTTACCTATTAAAGGAAAGATTGATTGTTTGTAGTCTTATCAATGACTCCATTTCTTCAGGCAAAGAATTTAAAAAATTGTTTCTAAGGTAGAAAGAAAAAGATTTACAAAAAAGTTTTGTTCAACTTTAATTGTAATTAAAATGTTGATCAGACAAAACACTATGTAGCTCTGTCTGTCAATCTTTGATCTGATCTCCTTAAGGCTGAGTCCTAAGAATACGAAATCAGTCAGCTGCCTCAAGAATTTGGTTAGTGTGCCAAATCCTAATACCAAATATGCAACTAATCAATAATGTAATCACCCCTTTAAAGTAGAAGAAAAACTGTAAACTAACCCCTTATCTCCTTCAAATTGAGCTCAGCAATTCTTTTCACAGTCAGGGCCCTTTAGATCATGCCTGTAAGTACTACATTATTTGATACCGCAATGTATTTGGTGATAATACATATATATCTTGCACACAGACATGAAATTCTACTCCAAAAAAATTGAAATATTGAAATATTGTATGAAAAAGTAAAACAGGACAGTAAAGAGATACTACATATTTATAAATGTGTGACTTTCTACTATAGAGGTATTATGCAAGTACATCTCTATTCTAAGTGTAGAATTTCAATTTGCACAGTCCATTTTTTTTTTTAAAGACTTATGATGAACCATGGTAGTAAACAGAATCTCATTTACTGTTGGAAGGATCTGAGAACAATGTTAGAAGAAAGGTTAACAAACAAGTGGGTTTCTAGAGGCTATGTACCTACCTATAATAGAAGATATCTGTGAGAAAATTATAACCAACTAAGTGGCTACATATTACAATTGAATAATTTTCTCTAACCGATTTCTTTACATTCAGAAGTCAAGCCTAATTTTTAAGTTATATTTTCTGCAGCTCAACATATGTTCTATTTTCTTTTCTCAGCACTTTTCTCCAGGTATTGTCTTTATTAAGTTGTACTGGATAACCTACTGCTGGTTTCTATCTTTTTCCAGAAAGTCTTGTACCTACTGATACCAGACATAAAAGCATATTTTAGTCACTTAATTAGAAACTTCCAGATATGGTTATGATGAAGGCATGCACACATATACACACATACATACACGCCACTGAAGGAGGGGACAAAAAGAAAGAAAGACAGCAGCAATGGAGACATGAATTCATCTCTTTGCTCTGAACTAAAATGTGGTTTTACGCTGTTTTGCCAGTGCACTTGCCACCCAAAAAATAAAAGCAAGTCTACATTTAGTAGGAGCAGAGTAAAATAGATTTGCTTTAATCCCACAAGTAAAAAAATTTTGTCTCTACCGGAAAAGTAAAATATATAACTTAGCTTTCTGTTATTTGACTACTGTTTGAGCAGAACAAGAGGAATTATAAACTAAAACACACATCCAGTAACAATATATGAGCGGCAGAAAGCCTAGGTAGTCGACACATAGTTTACAATAAAGTTTTAAAGCCCATGCAAATAAATGACTGTCTAACCCTGAGACACATATTATTACCCTCTGTGAGCTGTGATGCTTTAGATCCTGTCACATCAACTTTGAACATTCTGAACTTCATATTACATCTGCAGAACCTTAAATAGTTTTCTTTTTGTTGCCACTCATAGTGTTCCTTTTCTTTACTTCTGGCCATGCATATTTAATATAATATTTTGGAACTAAATAGTTTCTTTTTAAAAGAAGCCATGCTAGCTAGCTGCTATGCCAGCAAAGAGTTGACAGTTTTGTGCTATTTGCTTTCAGAAAAGGAACAATGTAAAGCACTTTCCTTGTGTTATTTGTCAGTTTACATAAGCATGAATCTATCAAAAAAAGTTACTATTTTCTAATATTTTAAATAATTTTGTCTTATCACTTAACTTGTAAATTGTCTATAAATGATAGATCTGATTAAAATACTTCCTAAATGCTTAATTTTGGAGATATACTAAAATATTATTAATAAACTAAACACCAATTTCCATACTTAGAAAAATATGAGGGGAAGGGCAAAAGTTAGGCAAACTCAAGGACAAGTTATAATGAAAAAAGTGAAGCAATAGTATCAATACATACCTGAGATCTAAAAATGTCAATTTTTGAAGCATACATAATTCCAAGGATATAAAGGAAAGCTTATTAAAACTGAGATTGACATCAGAAACCATTTCCTTCAGTTCCAAAATCCTGAAACAAAAAGAATTCTAAGATGTTAGCACTTGAATTCAGAACCTCAAAACTATAAGAAGCTCACAGTGGGGGAAAGAACCCTGTATTATATTGTATCTGCTAACTATATATTCTGTAACTTTTACTTTTCTCACAAAAATTTCAATCAGTTTGGATGTGTAACTGATAAAAACAGATTTCTAAAAAGAGCCTTAATATTATCTGTCACAGAATTTCTACTTGTCCTTAAATGTATGTTGAAGTTTAAGAATCCATTTATTTTATATTTAAACCAACTATGAACAAAGAACAAAAATCAAATCTATGCAATTTATCTACTGTATTTTGTTAATGGCTTGAATCCATACAATAAATTATTAGACATATATTCTATAACATAAGTATTATTAATGCAAGAAATTTTACATATACTTTCAAATTTAAAACTATGAAAAATAATTATTTTTTCAACTAAGATGCGAACAAAACTTAGAATGAGTCACTACCTAATAGAAATGGCATCATGAACAGTTCTTACCTTTTCGGAATTTCACATAGCTGATTCTTACTGAAGTTAATAGAAGTTATAATGTTGCTTTTTACTGCATCAAACACTTCATCAGGAATCAAGGTTGTTTGTTTATCACTTTAAAAAACAATTCAAAATCTGCATCATTCTTAGTAGTCCAGAAAAATGTGATTATTACCTTCCACTTTTAAAGAATTGTACAGATTTTATATGAAAATTTTTGAACATAGTTGATTATTTAGTTCTGTAAAGAATGCTATACAAACCTGCCAACCCACAAATGTTAACTGTCAGGAATTCAGACATATACTGTGTCACAACACACTGTACCTTCTGAGCATTCATAAACTCACAGTGAATAAAAATAGAGATATATCTTCAGAGTCTAAGATGTCTAGAGGTCATATAGTGATGGATAGTAATATAGTAAATAGATTCCTCTATCTCAGAGTGGAACTAAATCTGTAATTTTAAAAACTGTTTTGCCCCTTTTCTTAAAAATCTCTAACAAGTGTTATCTGTCAACTTTCTTTAGGTAAATAGTTAACTGCAATTCAAGAATTCTTTTTAAAAGTTCAACATATACCAGTGTTCTCATAACCTCAACCAGTTTCTCTTTTAGCACATGACAAGGTGAACAGTAGAGGCCTTAGAACTATTCCTGGTTCTACCATTAATGAGCTTTGTCATTTACCTTCTCTGAAGCTCAGTTCTGTATAATTATAATCTAAAGGGTTACTCATTGTTATTTATGCCAGATCTTTTGTAAATGTAAATTTCCTTTTCAGTAAGACTAAAGTATCAGTAAGATTTTTAATAAAATATTATTTAATCTTAAATGAAAGTATAGAACTCTGACACTTGCTTTAACAATTTGTTCATGTTCTAATTAGCTATTATTCTTATGCTCTTTTTTTACAATTTTTAATGCCTAATACATCACTGACTTAAAAGTATCCTCGATGGAATATATTACAAGAAAACAGTAAGGGAGAGCTGTGTAAGGAAGTCATTGTAATACAGATGGGATAAAAGACAGCTTAAATTTCACAGGCACTGTGTCTTTTACTTCTTCTGCTTCAGGGCCCCATTTTCTGCTTTGCAGATGCAGCATTTTTATCTTTCCAATCAGCAATGCTCAAGTCATGAGAAACTGATTTATTCTAATCAAACTTTGAAGATTCACGCTATTTTTAAAAATTTATTTGAAGGCATTTATGCCTTAAAATTAGGAATTAATTTATATCTTAAACAGTATACTCCTTTCCAATTAAAGTCTCTTAGGAAAACAAATTACAATAAATTTTAAAACTAAATAACCTAAAATGTGTAATCTTAAGTGCTATATTTATTATGCTTTAGTTATATCTGTGCCTTTAAAAAGTGGGAATGGTTATCCCAAATAAAATTGTAGCAATATTACTTTATAGATTGTCTGGAGGATTAAAAGCAATATTATATGTCAAATACCTAGCACAGCACCCAGCACAGAACAGACTGAATAATGGTGTCTATTCAGGGTGGAGGGAATGAATGCCTGAATTAAAAAGAAATTCTAGCTAAAAAATCCTAAGACAGGAAATAAGTCCGTCTCATCATTCAGTATCCTATGATACCTAGCACAGAATGTGATCTCTAGTAGGCTCCAAAAATATCTACTGAACAAATGAGTATATTATGTGGAAGATAAAACACACGAAGTTGCCATGTTATGCTATGAGAGAAGCACAAATATTAAATGTTACCCTGTCAAAGAAGGAAGCTGGCTTAGAGTAGTGATTTTTACATACATCCAAGAGTGGCAGACAAGAAGGGAGAGCAATGTAAATGAAACACAACAAATCTGAAAAGGAGAGTGTATACTAACTACTGAGAGGTGGTTCCTACTGACATATTAAGGAAAAGGGGCCAGATACTGAAGCTGGCTGTGTGGATAACTGAACAAATCTGATCACTTATATGACTTGAGTCTATATTCTTCTGTATTTCCATTATAATACCAAGGCAATCACTGCCAGAACTTTAATAGTATTGGTTATTTTTATCATTGTTGCCTTAGTAGTGAAATAACACTTGACAACCACTCCCAGTCTTTGTATAAGTATCTTCTTTCCCCAAATATACTTACATAACATTCAAAAATAATTGTTAAGGTTTCTGTCTCAATTTATACACCAACACTGTAAGTGTTTCAGATTTAATATATGTACACATTATTACTATGACATTATTTGACTTGCATTCAGATATATTAACAGGATACAACCTCTCAAGCTTTGCCCGCTTGGGGTATGTATTATCTAAATTATACTTATTTTTTTATTTATCAATATAGAACCCACTACTACCAATATAAAGTCCTCTCTGGATGCTGGAGTCAGAAAATTTTATTACCAACCAATACTGTCATACTTTTATTTTTTAAAACAGCAAAATGTTTTTCATTATAAAAATTTTACTATTAATAACTATCAATTTATCTCAAACACAACAAACACGAAACACCTAAGGAATGGACATTTAAGTTCACTGTACTTTTTATATGCTTCTATCTCATCATTGTATTTATAAGTGCTCTTATTCTAAGTATACTAACATACTCTGATCAATTTTTCCTCACCAACTATTGTTTTTCAGAAGGATTATTTCTGCCAGTTTCCTGTATGTTCTGTATGTTTAAAAAATGAGTTACATACCTATAGTCTAACATTTTTAACGTGATGATGGCGTGTACATTGATCCTGGATTCACTCGGTAGTGTCATGGCAGTCTCAGTAACAGAGTCACTTTGGCCAGGTCCATCATCTGGGGGGAAAAAAAGTTATATAAAATGAATATGTATAGTACAAAGTCATTTTTAACAACCATGAAAATACATTAGAAATAGTTTATGTGATTTCTTGATATTATTGGTGAGAATGTCTTCAATCATATGCTTTATTTCCAATAACTCACATTTGTTTGAATTTAATTAATAGAAAATAGTTACTATAATATGGCTTCAAAATCTATTAATAATTCCTACCATAAGAAAACTGAAAAATAGGAAAGAACCTTCAAAAAATTAAATGTCTCCGAAGAAACAACAAGGAATCATTCCTCTTAAGCAAAAGATGAGTAATATCTCCATTAGGAGAAATATGTTAAAACAACAACAAAAGGATTATTTCCCACAAATGTCTAACAAATAGGCATATACCTATCTTTTCATTTTAGGACACAATGAAGCTGATTATCCCCAATCATTTTAAGTCTGGAAATTTCCATAATCCAAAACGCTTTTAATTTTCATATACACTAAGATTTTTTTTAGTAAATGCAAGACTTTATTTTCAGTAGACATATCCTAACATGTCTGCCTACTCCCACATTCACACACAATCAACTCCTCACTAATCTCTAGAGACTACAATCCCCTAGCAGAATCCCAGCTGACTTCTTTGTAGAAGTTGATTCTCAAATTCATATGAAGGCGGTCCCTGGTGGTCTAGTGGTTAGGATTTGGCGCTCTCAAATTCATATGGGATTGCAAAAACTCAAAAGAGCCAAAATAAGCCTAAGAAAAAGAATAGAGGAGGAGGAATTACACTTCCTGGTTGCAAAACTTACTACAAAGCAATGATAATCAAGATAGCGTGGTACTGGCTCAGAAGAGACACAGACATCAATGGAATAAAACTGAGAATCCAGAATGCGACCAATATTTATGGTCAACTGATTTTCAGCAAGGATGGAAAGACCATTTAATGAGAAAAGGATAGTCTTTTCAACAAATTGTGCAGGGAAACTGGGTAGCAGTGTGTAAAAGAATTAAATTGAACGCATATTTCACCACATATATAAAAATTAACTTAAAATAAATCACAGACATAAATGTAAGAACAAAACTATAAAACTAAGAAGAAAACATAGGGGCAAATCTTAATAGGATTCTGTGAAGGATTTTTAGATATGAAACCAAAAGCATAAGCAAATATAGAAAAAACAGATAAATTGACTTTATCAAAATTCAAAGACTTTTGTGTTTCAAAGGATACCATCAAGAAAATGAAGACAACACATAGAGGGCTAGAAAATATTTGCAAATCATGTATCTGACAAGAGTTTTATATCTAGAATATATAAAGAATTATTACAATTCAATAATAAAAACAACCTAATTAAAAATTGGGCAAAGGAGCTGAACAGGTATTTCTCAAAGATGTATAAATGGCCAATATGCACATGAAACGATGTTCAACATCATTATTAATCAGGGTAATGCAAAACAAATCTACAATGAGATACTTCACACCCATTAGGGTGTCTAAAATTTGAAAATGAGAATCAAAACTCTCATAAAGTCCTGGCTGGGTAGCTCAGTTGGTTGGAACTTTCATCTTGATACACCAAGGGTGTGGGTTCGATCCTTGGTCAGAGCACATAAAAGAAGCAACCAATGAATGTATAAATTAAGTGGAGCAACAAATCAATGTCTCTGTCTCTTTCTCTCTTCTTCTCTAAAATCAATTTTAAAAAAAACCCTCATACAAAGCTGATGAGAATAAAAAGTTGTGCAGCTGTTTTGTAAAACAGTCTGGCCGTTCTTCAAATAAAGTTACAGTATGACTGCAATTCTACTCCAAGATATAAATGCAAGAGAAATAAAAATACATGTTCACACTGAAATTTGTAAATAAGCTGCCAGTAGAAATGGGGTTCTTTCAGTGTGTTGAGAAAAGCTCTTCAGTGACCATGCACTGGAGGATGAAAGGTGACAGTAAGATGTAATGGGGTAGAAATATGACTGCCCAGGTGCCCAGAGCTGGTGTCTCATCCACAGACAGGCTGTTCAGCTACATTCCACTGTGGAAGAAGTCCAGCTTTGTCTTCATCAAGCCGCAAATAAGGACCAGGGTCCAGAAATTCTGTGCTATTGGTTCAGTCCTTGCCAAAGCTTAAGTCCAGCTCGGTCTCCATCCCATCCAGCGAGCTTAGTTTGTGTCCCTGGCTGCAGCCATATTGCTGAACCCAGATCCACGTTTGGGCCCTCGGGGCTGCAAGGTCCACGCAGCTGCCTGGGGCCCACACTTGGAGCCATGGCTGGAGCCCAGGCTTGGGCCCACAGGGCTGCTAGGCCCATATGGCTGCAATGGAGTGAGAAGGTGCTATCGCAGGACAGCACAAAGGAAAGGGCAGGGCCCATGTTACCAAGAGAGACCTTTGTTAAAGCTTTGATTTCCTCAGGCTTTCAAACTGACCAATCCCTTTCCCAGTCCTTGATGGCCTTGTGCTGTATCCTCCCCCTAGCCAATCCACCTCTTCTATCTTTGAGGGCTTGTGCTGAGATCTCCACTACCCAAACTGGTCTTTTCCCCAGATTAGACACCTCCCCTTTTGGTGTGCTCCCCTTTTAGGTCACCATCTTGGCTCCTACTGCACATGTGTCAAAGCTCTGCTGTGTCCTCTGCTTTATACCAGGCCTGTGCTTACGTCCCCCTGAACCATCTTGTCTTCTATTGGGCACACACCCAGCTGACTAGCTTCCCCTTTGCTGTTTTATTTCTCCCTCAGTAACCTGGGCTAATGGCCGGTGGTACACCAGGGAGATTGGAAAGCTAGTCCTTCCTCAGAACATGGGGAGATTATGGGATGTTAATCCCCTTGGCAGGGCACTGAGGCTACTCACGGAGTCTGTGAAGCTGCAGCTTCTAACTAATTAATCTTAGCCAGATTTGCACCCTTTTCTTTCATTAATATATAACAAATTTTTTAATACACTTATGATATACAAATTTAAAAATAGAAATCATACAATGTGTGCTTTCAGATAACAGCGTAATTAAATTAAAAATTAGTAACAAAACAACAAAGGGAAAATTCTAAACTATGAAAAGATTAAACACATCTCTCTTTTCTTTAATCCTCACTGGAGGATATGTTTATTGGCCTTTAGAGAGAAGGAAAGCGGGAGAGAAAGAAACAGTGATCATTTGCTTCCCATATGTGCCCCAACCAGAGTTTGAACACACATCCTAGGTATATGCTCTGCCTGGGGATCAAACCCACAACATTTTGGTGTATGGGACAACGCTCCAAACAACTCACCCACCAAGTCAGGGCAACAACACATTCCTGAATAACACATAGGCTCAAAGAAGAAATCTAAAGAGAAAGTTTAAATACTTTGAACTGCATGAAAATGAACACACAACTTAACAAAATTAGTTGGATGAAGTGAAATAAGTGTTTAGACAGATATTTATAAGACTGAATGCATATACTAGAAAAGAAGACAGATCTAAAATCAATAATCTAAATTTCTACCTTGGGAAATTAGAAAAAGAGGAGCAAATTAAATCCAAAGTAAAAAGAAAAGAGAGTATGAATTCAAGCAGAAATTAATAAAATTAAAAACAGGAAATCAATAGAGAAAATGCTGATTCTTTGAAAAGATCAATAAAATTGATATGCCTCTAAGTCAGGCTAACTAAGAAAGAGACCAGGCACTAATTACTGATATCAGAAGTGAAAGAGCAGACATCTCTACAGATCCCATGGGCATAGAAATAATAAGAACAACTCTATGCCACAATCTTGGTAATGTAGATGAAACAGACCAACACCATGAAAGACACAATCTGCCAAACTCACATAAGAAGACACAGAAAATCCAAAGGCCATATCTATTAACAAAATTGAATCAATAATCAATAACCTTCCAAAACAGAAGGCACCAAGTCTAGGCAGTTTCAGTGGTAAATTCTACCAAACATTTAAGGAATAAATTATACCAACTTTATAACATAGAAGCAGAGTTAATACTTCCAAATTCATTTTAAGAGGCCATAATTACTCTAATAAGGATATTACAAAAAGAACAGAAAGCAATCTCTGATAAACACACATGCAAAAATCATGAACACAATACTAGTATAGTGCTAAACAAAAATATGAATACTTTTCTTCCCACCTTCTAAGTTATTCTAGCTGGGTCAATTATCAAATTAATAGAGACAGATTAACAGGAGAAAATAAAAGTTTTAATACATGCAAATGGGGAATTCATATAGGCATGAAAATTCCAAAGACAGTAAGGCAACATTGGGTATACAATACATTTTGGACAAAGGATAAAGGTAGGCAACAGCAGGGTCTTAGATTTCAAAAGTAAGAATGCGCAATTTACAGAACAGAGCACATATGGAAGGAAAATTTTTGCTAGGCAACTCAAAAACAATGGGATACACAAAGTGTAAGGACAGAACATTATTGTTAATTTAAGAATGTTCTACTTATGGCCTATATGGATTCAGAATTAGAGCCACACCTGCCAGTAACCATTTTCGCTAATTATTTATACCCAAAATACATGTAAATTTATGTACTATTAACACTTCACTACCTTTCATATTATCCTTCAAAATACAAAAGAAAATTAAAAAGTACCTTTAATCTTGCTTCGTAGGTATTTTAAGACTTCTTGGGTTCCTTTCTGAAAAGGTGGAAAGACATATTCACTGAGACATACCGTGAAGTTTTATACATCAATACAAATGTTTGAACTTGAAATTTAAAAACCGAATCTGGTTTCTGAATATGCTTACATTTATTATTTCTCTTCGAATGGTTCTCATAGGATTTCCTTCTAGTGCCAGGAATTTCAAATGAAGTTTTCCCAATGAGTAGGGCAGACTACAAAAGATTAAATTGATTTCAGGGAAAACATTAAGGGCATGTATAATTCAATCAAACAGTTGATTGTAACACTAACAACATATATATACAAACGTCAAGGAACAACCAAGTAATGTAGGCCTACAATATTTTTCTTTGAGGTAAATGCTGAACATGTAAAAGAAAAATCAGATCTGTTTGAAATTGTCACACTGTGATTGCTAAAAAAGAATGTGAGCTATAAAGCATTTGGTAAATTGTATCCAGTGCTAAACAGTGTATGTTCAATATATAAATTTGAATGAATCAGTGATTCAAAATAGCCATCCTCACTGATGCTAAATGTTTTGATTTTCCCTTCAAGCAAGTAAATAAAATTCTTCCTATATAAAAAATAAGACAAAAAAATAAAAATTTTAATCACCCAGTTCATATTTTCATTCAATAAGAAAATTCTTTTTTATCTTTGTCACACAAAAAGATAAACTGTTAAGACTGGATATCCAATTTCAAAATTAAGCATCTACAATATACTAGGCATTGATTGGGTAGGGCGGCAATTTCAATCAGTATGCTGCACGAATTTTTAAAATATGTTATACCTGATTATTCATTCAGGGGCTCTGATCTCTTATCCCTTAGATTTTCAAATTAAAAACAAAAGCAAAACCAACAGCCAAAACAAATTTAAAAAAATGTAACAGACATTACAATAACTGTTGGTGTGAATGAATCAAAATTATACCTTTTTTTTGTCAGATCAGCAAAAATTATTTTTGGTGTGCTGGAGAATTTCAGTAATTAGTTTATGTGTGCCATGAGATGAAAAAGGTTGAAATCACTAGTGTAAGGATATCAAGATTCTTGCCCTTAAAGAGCTCTCAGTTCAACAAAGAAAGAAGACGTATTCACAGTTAACCAAAGTAGGAATTATCTTATGTTGCTGGTGAGCATATAAAATAGTACAGCCACTCTGGAAAGCAGAGTCTTGTAAAGTTAAACACATACTTACCACACAACTAAGCAATCTCACTCCTAGAGATTTACCCAGGAGAAATTAAAATAATGTCTAAACAGAGACTTTTACATGAATGTTCACAATAGCCAATAAACTGAAAATAATTCAAATGTCTGTCAACTAACTAGTGAAGGGATGAATAAGGATGAATAAATAGTACAGCTGTTTCATGGATTAACACTCAGTAATAAAAATGAACTGCTGATACACACAATTACGTAAATGAATCGCAAAAGCCTTATGCTATGTGAAAGAAGACAAACACAAAACTATATATTGTGTGATTAAAAACAGACAAACTACAGTGACAAAGCAAATCAGTATTGCCAGAGGCTGGGGTATTAAAAAAGGACTGACTGCAGAGCATATGAGGAAACTTTAGGAGGACAAAAATTTTCTATCTATATGACTGTGACAATGTTTACACAAACATACATTTGTCAAAAATCACCAAACTATATGCTTAGTGAATTTCCTTGTATATAAATTATACATCAACCAATATATATATATAAGACAAATGATAAACTAGTTGCTATGAAAGTAGAGATACAGAAATTAATAAGGGGTGTGAGTGAACACACAATACAATATACAGACAATGTATTATATGGAATTGTACACTTGAAACCTATATAATTTCATTAATCAGTCACCCCAATAAATACAATAAAAAGGAAAAAAATGTAAAAATAAAGATAAAAAGAAAAAATTTAGCTAGGGTAGCAAGGTAGGGAAGGGAGTAGCAAAGCCTAAAAACTAAAATGGGATTCCACCAGTCAGGCAGTAAAAGGGTATTCTCAGGTAAAGAAGCAAAATCATCAGTTCATTTATAGCTCAGTGTAATCTGAAAACAGCATACTTGTAGGAGTGAAGGATGGTATATAAAGAGAATGAAGCCTGAATGTGAGATGCCCTTGAATTTTATGCTAAAAAGACTGGACTTTATTTTTCAAGACAGTGGCTCCCAATTACTGGAAAACCAGAGGCATCAAAATCTCCTAGGAATTGTTTAAAACAAAACACAAAACAATTCTACAATCTCATCATTAGAGGTTCTGATTCACTGGTGCCTCAGATTCTGTACAGTAGTTCCCCCTTATTCTCAGTTTCAGTTTTTGTCATTTTGGTTACCCATAGTCAACCAGGTGAAAATATTAAATAGAAATTTCCAGAAATAAACAATTCATAAGTTTTAAATTGCGTGCTATACTGAGCAGCATGATGAAATCTCAGACAGTCCAACTCACTCCCTCCTGGACGAGAATCATCTCTTTGTCCAGTGTCTCCATGTTGAATTCGCTCACTGCTCAGTTAGTAGCCATCTGGGTTATTGGATCGACTCTCTTGGTATCACTATGCCTGTGTTCAATTAACTTATTTTACTTAGAAATGACCCCACAGCCATTCACATAACTTTAATTAGAGTATACTGTTATGACTGTTCTATTTTATGTTATTATTGTTAATCTCTTAATGTACTTAATTTATAAATTAAACTATCATAGGTATGTATGTGTAAGAAAAAAACCCTATAGAGAGGATTAGGTACTATCCCTGGTGTCAGGCATCCACTGGGGATCTTGGAACATAACCCCAGTAGATATGGGGAAGAACTAGTGTATTTTCTTTTTTTATTCTTAAAGCTTCTCAGTGATTCAGATGCATAGCCATATTTGGTAACTAGTGTTATAACAATGTAGAACCATCAAAGTGTTTTAGTAGAAGAATGCCCTGATAATTTGTATTTCATAAAAAATATTCTGATAGCAGTGTAAGGAATCAATATTTTGGTGAGGAGACATTCTGGAGAGGTACAAAATGAATTGATTGTCTAAGAAGAAAGTACGAGGTTGGAGGTAAGGAAAGAAACTAATATTTATTAAGTGCCATTATGTTCTAGGTCCTGTGATATATATATATATATATATATATATACACTTCATAACCAAAGCTCTGAAAAAAGAGGAACTTACATATCAGAAATATTTCTACCAATTACTTTATTTAGTTAATATTATTATATTTTTGTTTTAAATATTTGCATTCCACTGCTTTTATGCAGTAGTCAAAATAAAAAACTGCCATGTGGAAAAATGTATGTCAATATTTATAAGAGGCAAGAGATCATGTCATTCATTACTTGTAAAGTAAGCACTTTTAGGGATATCCAAATCACTTAGTAATTTATCATAAATAGAAGTGAAAAGTGTCACTTTTCAAATATTCAAATCTATGGCCAAGATGTACCATATGCCATTTGTACATTGTGAAAACAATTCTGACTTTTAAAAATACACACATAGAAAAAAAATCTGCCTTTCCTAACCTTTCACCTTCTATGAATGAGAAACCATGTTATTCTAAACACAAAATCTCAGACATTTAACTGGTACATAATCCTTGCTAAGTCTGAGTCATATTTTTGGTATCTATAAAAATTGTTCCATTACTAAATACAGGATGTGGCAAAAGCAGATTTACAGTTGTTTGTATGGAAAACAATACATTATTAAATAATAATACATAAACAAACTCTGCGTTTTGCTTTCTCACAACTAACTGTAAACCTACTTTTGCCCAATCCGTATTATGATCCTCTGCTCCCTACTCTCCTCCTCCCATCTCCAACACAGGCAATAAATTGCTAAATACTACTTATTCTAACTCATCATACCTTTCACATCTTTCCTCTTCTTTCCATTCCCATTGTCACCATAGTTTAGGTCCTTATTACATGAGAGGTCTACAAAGTTGTCAACACAGTGAACTGGATATATAAAGTGCTCCCTAATGTTAAACTTATTAATCTAATAGAGTTTATTTAAATTTACCACTTACAAAACCACACTTATCCAACGTGCTTTATCCATTACCACCAATTTATTTTTAATGAGATTACAATCAAATTGGTTCTGTTATTAATCTTTCCATAGCTCCCTACCTCTTAACTAAAGGAAACGGGCTCTTCACAGGTATTTCTAGGATCTCTTCCACATGGCCTCATATTATCTTTCAAGACCTAAATTCTCAATATCTCCCTACTTATACCCTATTCACCAGTTCAATTTGACTCCTTGCTCTTCTCTAAATACATCTCTTCAATTTTCTGAATTTTCCAAGCTTTGTACATTTGCCTTCTGCCAAATGTTTCATTTTGACCATCTTTCATATGCATTTGAAAACCATGGTCATCCTTTAAGGATCACATGGTGGGACTAGAATGAAGCATGGCCATGAAAGGGAGTGTATATATTTACACTTTGTGCTCTAGGCAATTACTGCCTCACCCTGGTCCCAGTCCTAAAGATTATCTAAAAATGTTACTTTCCCCACAAAGTCTACCTTGATACCCCTCAATAAGTTATAATTCCTGTATTTCCTTCAAGCTCCCAAAGCATTTTGTATCTCTCCAATGGTTTTCCGTTCCTTTAACAAATTAAAAAATCAATATTTAAAAGGAACCATCTATGTATCCAGGCACTAATCTAGAAGTTACAGCAGTGAAAAAAACAGATAAAAATTCAGCCTTCTGAGAGTTCACATTCTAACAGGTAAGAGGAACATGTGAATGCATCTCATCCTATTAGCATATTAAGCTTGCTGTCAAGGACAAAATCTTATTACTTTTTGTAGGTCTGTACATAATACTTGCTCAGTAAGTATTTATTGAATCTAATTCAGAAAAAAAAATCTCTATATGCTTTTTCACAAATATTTTAACTTACGAATTATAATCAAATATAAATATGATTTCTTATTCATTTGATCTTTAAACTTACCTACTAATATCATTGTTGCTTAGGTCAAGCCTTTCCAATGACCGTAGTAGAGTAATCTCATCTGGGACAGATTTTAACTTGTTATCCCGCAGGTCTAGCACAAGGATAGAATTCAGATGCTTAAGATGTTCTGCCCCTAACATTTCAATTTGGTTTTCACCTACATGTAATTCCTACAAAACCAAAGATTAATCATGTATATTTCTGTATTCAATGTTACACTACATAATGAAAATAAAATTGAAATCTTAATTTCAAATCATTGAAAAACATAACTTTCTAATTACTAAGGTGCTTAAGTTTTCAATTGCTAAGCCATCTTATAGCTAAAGAAAAATGGCAGTAAGAAAATTTTCTGATAATTTATAAATAAAGGTTTAACCTGGTACAAAGTTTAGCATTTATAAAGCAAAAAAAGAGAAATGATTTAGTGGTTACACTTACAGAAATAATAAAAATACAAATCCGAGAACTATACTTATAAAAGATTTAAGGTAAATTTAAAAAGTTATACGGTAATTAGTTATTCAACATTTTCATTTATGATTATTATATATATTGATTTCCCATTAACATAATCCATAATTATCATATGGAAAACTAATCTTATAAATTGTAACTTTCAGTTCTTTTCAACACTGTCAGCATCCTGCATAAAAGAAACTCTTAACACTAATGCATAAAAGTATACATAAAGGAAAGCAATGCATGGCAAATTTAAAAGAGAATGTTAATACTAAGTAATTAAAACCAAAAGAAAGTAATTAAGTTTAAACAGATCTGATTATGATACGGTAAACATGAGAGGTGGCAACTTACAGAATTAGATACATATTCCTTCCTGGTATTCTGGTATTCCAGGTCTCCTACAATATGGCCCCAACGTACCATGTTAGCCTCGTCATCTATTACATATTCAGTTATAAACTACTCACCAGATAAAATGGACAAATTTCTATTTTTAAAGTTGTTTATTTCTTTCTTTAAAAAGATTCTGTTACTAATAATACCATAAATATATTTAGTCATATTAAAATTTGGAAAATTATTTATATATAGGAAAAACATAGCACATATAACTAATACATATTTCCAATGTAAAACAAGATTAAAAATTTCATTTTCATTATTAACTTTTGGAAAATATATAGTTATTTAATTATCAACTAAATAGTACCTTTAATAATTTACAAGAAGGAAATTCTGGTAAAAAACGTAATTTATTCCTCTGCAAATAAAGCAATTCTAGTGATTCCATGCCAGCCAATTCAGGAGGTACAGTTTCCAAAAGATTTGAATTACAATCCAAGTGCTTTAATCCTGTAATACATATTTAGTAAAACATAAAATTATTTTAATAGAAAAAAATATTGGTCTATAATTATATGTACATGCAAAAAAATGTACACATAATCATGAGAACTTAACTTATATACTGCTATAATAGTCAAGAATCCTAGAACACCACTGAATTAAATAAACATAAACTAAGATTTTTTACCTTTAATTAAAATTAAAGAGAACTGATATTAAAATTAATGCTTAATCATAGTCCACATCATCTTTGTAACAGATTTTAATAAACGAAGTACTTTAGCCCTGGCCAGGTAGCTCAGTTGCTTAGAGCTTCATCCCAATATGCCTAGGTTATGGGTTCGATGCCCAGATAGGGCACATACAAGAATCCACCAATAAATACATAAGTGGAACAACAAATCAATGTTTTTCTCTCTCTCTCTCACCCCTTCCTCTCTCTAAAAATCAATATATTAAAAAAAATCTTTAAAGTTCTTTGGTATTCTGTTAAAGTACTCTAAAATGTACAGGGTAGGACAAAAGTAGGTTTATATTTGTTCATATAGAATATAATAATTAATAATAATATAATAAAGTGTTTCACATACTTACAACTATAAATCTACCTTTGTCCCGCACTGTATAAATTATACACATAAGATTATTTTCCTCTGCAATTATGTATCTTTAAAAAGAAACAGCTTGAGAGAGATATATAAATATGCATGCATACTATATGTATGAATTAACATCAGGTAGCTTAGATACATCCATATTTAAAATAGGCATGGTCACTTTCTATCAAACCCCTTGGATTTTTATTATCCCCTCCAATACTTCATCCATTTATACTGCCTCTCTGTCTCTTTCCCTTCCTTTCTTCTTCTTCTTCTTTTTTTTATTACATGCTTTCTCTAACACCTTAGCTAACACCCTTGACAAGAATGTTCTTACTTGCAGTATCTCTCTCTTACCTGCTGGCTCATTCTTTCTTAAAAGACATAACAGAAAACAAAAATAGGTAAAAAATAAAGGTCTTCTTTACCTTAAAACTTTAAAATACAGTTTTCTCCCTAATCCATAATACATATTCTTCCACTTACAATGGTCACAATTTTCCACAGTTCACTCTCAACCCTCTAGTTTGAATAAGCTATACACATTTTACAATTTTTTTCCCCTGTACTTGGAACCTGTCAACTTTAAAATAATTCAAGACCGAGTTGTTACAATACCTTAGCTGCTTTTAGTATTTAAAGAAGCTAACTACTTGAAACAAATGTAGTAGTACTACTTTCAGTTAATAATATAGTACTCTATTATTTGGCTAGAGCATTGAGAAAAATGTCACAATCTGATCCACTCCAAATCCAGTAAACTCTATAAAAAGTTTGTTTTAAAGTTAGAGACTCTAACTTTTCACAATTGTTTGCAGAGCTCTGATCGAGAATGCAAGCAGTATGTAGTGGGAAGAGCAATGGGGATGGAGTAAGAGGACTCAATCCCTGTCTCTACAATTTATAATATAATTTCTAAGCCTAGGTTTTTGAATGTTGAAAATGCGAATAGGCATTCCACTAATTTACAGAACTGTTGTGATGGCAAACTTTAAATGTAAAAGCATTTGAAGTTAAAAAAGAACCATATGGATTTTTTTTTTAAAAAGCTAAGGGATTTTTTTCCCCCAATAAGTGTACAACTGTGATGAGATAGGCCTTTTCTGGAAGAGAACCCCAAAGAGGACCAACATCACACAGGTAGAGAATTCATTGCTAGGACACAAGGCAATGAAGAACAGGTGATGCGAGGGAGAACTTTAAACGGAAGCTTCTACTCATCTGCCATTTTGATAACCTGCAAGTTTTCAAGAAAAATATTGTCATGAAAAACATGTTGAATGTGATGTGGAGGGCAAATAAATAAACAGGCAATTTTTTATTGAGTGGATTCATGAAGTGTTTGCCTTAAGTGCAAAGAAATACCTCTGGGAAAACAATCGCCAGTTGGGGCACTTTTTATAATGGACAATACTCCTCCCACCTGCAGGCTTGGAGGCCAGCTGGTATAGCTGTGCAGCTTCATCACTGTTAGGTTCTGCGACCAAATGTGACTCTCAGCCAGCCTATGGACCAACAGGCTATTTCTAATTTTAAGAAACTCTACAAAGACACTTGTTCAGAGGTGTTTTGAAATACCTTTGAAACTAATTTAACCCTCAGGGAGTTCTAGAAGGAACATTTTATATCCTCACTTGCTTTGAGCTCATAGACAAAGCATGGCGGGGAGGTGTCTTCCAAGACCATGCAATCAGCCTGGAGGAAACTATGGCCTCAGTCAGTTGCTGAAATAGACTTTGAGGGCTTTGAGGATGAGCCTCTGTCTGTTGTGGAGGACAGTGTGCCTTTGGGCAGGTCCATGGGCTTGGAGGCGGATGCTGATGACATGGAGGAGTAGGTGGAGGCCCACAACACTGAGCTGACCACCAAGGAACTCCCAGGCCTGCAGAGGGAGCAGCAACAGACGGCAGCTGAGGGTCTCTCTTCAGAAGACGAGATAAGGGAGGATATTCCTATTTCACTAATTAAGGAAATGCTTGGGAAATAAGGAGAAATACAAAGTTTTATTGAGAAATATCACTCTGACAAAGCAGTAGTAAACCAAGCAATAAAGTTGTTCAATGACTATGCAATGTTTCACTTCAGGCAAGAGTTAAAATGCAGGCAAAAACAATCATGATTGGATAGGTTTTTAGTGATACAGATGCCCAGTGAGCCTGCAGTAGGTTTTAGTGGAGCAAAGAGACAAAGGAGAAAAAGAACCCTATAGGAACAGTTACATGATGTTTTTTATGGAAAAGGACTCCCCTCCAAAACAGTAACACCCTCCTCTGCAAATTCAGTCATTAATAGCTCTCCACATTGAAGGTAAGTTCAAGTGTGTACATAAATTTTCATGTTTTTCTGTACATTTCATTTCCTTTCTGTTAAATTTTAATTTACATTTCCTGTCCTTTTTATGTTTCAAGTATTACAGATTAAATAGTACATTAGACATGTACTGTATATAAGAAAGGTTAAAAAGGGAATTATTTGGGGGTCTGGAACATATTACTTCAATTTATGTTATTTCTAATGGGAAAAAATGATTTGGTTTTCAAACAAATCACTTCTCTAACAGCATTCCAGAACAAATTAAGTTCGAGAACCAAGGTTCCACTGTACCGTTATTGAAAAATGGCAAAGACAAGCAGTCTTAACTATTCCTATCACAAGTAAAGGCTCCCGAAAATGTCAATTTGATTTATGTGGATTTAACTTATGAATTACTATTATAAATGACAAATAACTACTTCTGGTCAAGATGGAGGCATAGGCAACTATGCCTCACTTCCTTGGACAACCTTAGGAGGGTATACAACTACCTTCGAAACAAAAAACACCCAGAACTGCCAGAAAATAGAACTGTATGGAAGTCCGACAACCAACGATTTAAAGAAGAAACATTCATTCAGATGGGTAAGAAGGGGGGACACAAGGAGCCCGACGGAGAGGACGTGGCATGGCAGCTGTGAGGGCAGTGACCAGGCAGAGGCAAGTGGCCATCCGAATGGGCGGTCCCATATTAGGAATATGCGGGGAGCATGTCCCAGGCCAGACTGTGCAGCCCAGGGTTCCAGCACTGGGAAATTAAGTCTCATAACTCTTGGCTATAAAAAACACTGGAGATTGGGGCAGTGGAGGAAAATGCAGATTTATCAGGAGAGTCAGTTTAAAGGGCCCACAGCATCCTAGAACATACGCAAGCCCACCCACTCTGGGAATAACTACTAGGGAAACAGCTAGAGGGGCACCAGTCGCATAAATGACTCGAAGCGGGGTGAGTGCTGAACAAGCCTCCAGCAGTTAGGCAGCTGCACTCTCCCCTCTCAACCCCTCCCCCACATACAAAGCCACATGGCTGCCCCGCCTCAGCAATTACCTAAGGCTTCACCCCATACAACAGAACAGGTGCTCCAAGAAAGGGAGTCAAAGCAGCTCTACCTAATACCCAGAAATAAACACAAGGAGGCTGCCAAATTGAGAAGGCAAAGAAATATGGCTCAGATGAAAGAACAGAACAAAACCCCAGTACCTAGTAAAAGAACTAAGCAAAATGGAGACAGCCAACCTATCAGATGCAAAGTTTAAAACACTGGTGATAAGGATGTTTAGAGATCTCACCGAGTACAGCAAAAGCACATGGGAAGAAGTGAAGGATACACTAAGTGAAATAAAGAAAAACCCACAGGGAACCAACAGGTTGAGAAAGAGAAGGAAGTCAGGGTTCAAATCAATGAATTGGAACATACGGAAGAAATAAACAGTCAACCAGAACAGAATGAAGAAACATGAACTCACAAAAAATGAAGAGAGACTAAGAAGACTCCTGGACATCTCCAAACATGCCAACATTGGAATCATAGGGATGCCAGGAGAAGAGGAAGAGCAAGAAACTGAAAACTTATTTGAAAAAATAATGAAAGAAAACTTCCCTAATTTGGTGAAGGAAATAGACATACAAGTCCAGAAAGCATAGAGTCCCAAAAAATTTGGGCCCAAAGGGGAGCACACCAAGACACACTGTAATTAAATTGCCAAAAGTTAAAGATAAAAAGAGAATCTTAAAAGAAGCAAGAGAAAAAGCAGAGAGTAACCTACAAAGAAGTTCCCATAAGACTATCAGCTGGTATCTCAAAAGAAACTTTGCAGGCAAGAAGTCTTCAAAGTCATGAAAAGCAAGGAACTACCATACAATCAAGACTACTTTATCCAGCAAAACTATCATTAGAATGGAAGGGCAGATAAAGTCCTTCACAGAGAATGCAAAGCTAAAGGACTTCATCATCGCCAAGCTCTTATTATATGAAATGTTAAAGGCACTTAAGAAAAAGGAGATCAAAACTATGAACAGTAAAATGACAGCAAACTCACAACTATCAACAACTGAACCTAAAAAACAAAATCAAACTAACCAAAAAACCAGAATAGGAACAGGATCACAGATATTGAGATCATCTGGAGGGTTATCAGTGGGGAGGGGGAAAGGGAGAATGGGGGAAAAGGTACAGGGATTAAGCATAACTGGTAGGTACAAAATAGACAGAAGGATGTTAAGAACAGTATAGGAAATAGAGAAGCCAAAGAACTTATATGCACAACCCATGGACATGAACTAAGAGGGGGGACTGCTGGAGGGAAGTGGGGTACAGGGCAGATGGGGTCAAAGGGGGAAAAATTGGGACAACTATAATAGCAAAATCAATAAAATATACAAAAAATAAATTAAAAATACTATTAATCCAAAATAGAATATACAATTTTCCAAATTCACCTCAAAATGATCTGTAATCAACTGTATGAAATCACTTCTGTAACTTCCTTTACAAAAGGGGCATTTAAAAAAAAGAAGGCTTATATATGACTGGCAAAATAAAACTAAATAAAGTAAATAGTCTACAGCTAATACTCATTGTGGTATCAACCAAGAAATAGTAGCAGTTTGCCTTTAAACAAAATAATCAGTTTAATGATTTTAGACTCTAAACCAAAAACTCCAAGATTATTAAGTATACTTATTTAAAAGGTACTAAAATGTACCTTAAATATTTTTACCTGTTAATATCAGTCTACAGTACTTTAAATATGATGGTTCAATGGAAAATTTTAATAGAAGCACTAAATTTTAAACTTTTTTTTTTAAAAAAAGGATTCATAATTTAGGCCAAACTAGACTCTCTCTTGTCATTATTAATTATGAATCACGAGGAGGCTACAGCTATGACATAACCATATGTCATAGATAGAATCGCCTATGAAGAGGGAATAATCTCTTACTGAATGTTGAATGAATGAATAAAAATACAGCATAGCTCAAAATCTTAATCGATTTCTCAGGTATAAAATTTTATCACAATTTATAATACTTTCTTTTCCTCTTTTTGATATGCCAAAATACCTTTTTGGCGTTAATTATTTAGGAAGCTGCTAGACAGTAATGGCCTGGAGAAAATCTGATTAGATGCTATTGTTTGCATTTACTACCATAAAATCTATTATTTTACTTTCTGTAATTAACTACATTAAAATTTATTTTTCTAACTGTAGACTTATTTTGCTTAATGCACCAACTTCAAATTTATGTATTTTTGAAAATAGAGATTTACTTTTCATTCCACTTATTTCTGCTGGCAAATTCTTCAGTTGATTACTGGAAAGATTGAGTCGCACCAGGTTGGAGAGAGAAGAAAAACTAGCAGGAACAGTTGTGAGATGATTATTTGAAAGATCCTTTAAAAAGAGAGAGACAGAATGAATAAATGAACAAATAAATAAAAAAATAAATTGTCCCCAAAGGGTATTACAAATTTTTGCAAGAATTAAAATATTAAAAAAAAAAAAACAAAACCTATTTCAGAAATGATGTTTTGTAACCCTCATTCACTGACAATTTCACAAATCATTCATTACCTCAATATTCTGTAGGCCCACTACGTGCCCAATAATGTAGCAGAGAGAAATCACAATGAATTCTGACTTCAGAAAGTTTATATAAGGGTACCATTAATACTAAGTCATGCTATATCATGTATCCTGTTTTCAATTTCTAAAAAACCCATTTGTTTATCCAATATTTATTGAGTGCCTGTGATAAATAGGGCAAATTTTATGGGTAAACAATAATATGAAACAAAAAACAACTCTGTAAAAAAGGAAAATTCTTAAAAGAAAATAAGCTGAAAATACGGCCACTTTAACTTTTGAGAAGAAAATAGTCCTTGATTTTCTGCTGACCTCAGCAAGTCTTCTTTGACAAGTCCAGAAGTCCAATATACTACTGTTCATTCAAACTTGCTTAATTAGCCTTTATACCTCAATGTTTCTTTAAGTCATTGTTTCTGTTTTTTCTTTAAACAGTTATAAGAGAACTTTTTTAAAAAAACACTCCCCTTAAAAGTTATAAACCAGATAATTCTTCTTATAACATTTGAATTCAGTGTAAGTACTCTACTAGCTATCAGCAAACTGTTAGGTAAGGCCAGCAGTAACAATGAACAGAAAAAAAAAATAACGTAAAGGAACTGCTCTCTGAAGACTTTAATTGGTCTAATATGACACTACTGCATTCTGTAACTCTAAATAAATTAAGAAGATACAAAAAGGTAAAAATGCTAGATAAGCATTTTTCTCTGTATATTGTAAATAATGTATTATCATAATCTATAACATACAACATAGTAACCTACAATTCCAATACTCTAAGCTCTAAGAATTAACAGATTACTAATAAATAAATATTGTATAATATAAAAGTTACTGACACTAAATGCAATGTAGTATTCTGGATTGGGTCCTGGAACAAAAAAAAAGGACATTAGTGGAAAAACTGGGAAAATCTTGATAAAATCTGTACTTCAGTTAGTAATATTATATCACTATTCATTTCTTACTTTTTACAGATGTCGCATGGTTATGTAAAATGTTAACATTAGAAAACCTGGGCGAAGGAAGTGTTGAAACTCCGTGCTATCTTTACATTCCCATAAATCTAAAATTATTCCAAATAAAAAGCTTAAAATAAAAATGTTCACTAGAAAAGATATTAATTCACAAATTTATTTTAAAGAACCCAAATCAACAAATTACTAATAAACACTTAATTATTTTAATTAATAATTAGATATAAAATATAAGCATATAAATTAATCACTATTTATGCAGCCAATTCTTCAATAAATATTTATTTAGTACTATTATGCAAAGTAGCTTTTACATAGCCAAGAAATATTACCAGCATAAATCATTACAGATGCATATACTTTTTATTCATTTATTTATTTTGAAAATCCTCACCCAAGGATATGTTCCCTGATTTTTAGAGAAAGAGAAATGGAGGGGGAGACAAAGAAGGGGGGAGAAAGAAAGATAGAGACAGAGAGATAGAGAGAGAGAGAGAAAGAGAAACATCAATGTGAGAGAGAAACATTGGTTGCTTGCCCTCCCCACAACCAGGTATGGAACCCACAACCCAGGTATGTGCCCTGGCCTGGATCTAACCTGCAAGCTTTTGGTGGGCAGAACAACACTCCAACCAACGGAGCCATCCTGCCAGGACCAGATGCTTATACTTTTAATGTTTTAATATATTTTTGCTCACATTATGATTTATTTGATGCTGAGTCCTTAAGATCACAACTCTAAACTCAAATATCCTTTCATTATGCCACCTGTGATCTAGGAACTCATAAGGGGAATACTGGTAACTGCTGTAGTTAATTAGGTTTCCTTTCTACTACAGAATCTTTTTTAACAAACAATTCAATTATTATATTTACCACTAAATTTTATAAGAAAATCTAATGGTTCCCTCCTTTGCCATTCATTTCATCTACCTACGCCTTTTACTTTCCAAACCTTATCTCCAATCTAATCAGAATGAGAGACATGGAAGTTGAGGAAAGCATGTATTTTGACTTCAAACCCTAGAGCGGATAAAGGAAAATATCAAGAAGGATGTATTTACAGAAAAAAAGTAAAATAAGTACTTTTTCCTTTAATGAATAAATTTTGATGCTAAAATGACATAAAGGAGTTTTTCAAACATATAATAGGAAAAAGAAGAAGAATATAATATTAAATAACTATTGGAGTAGAGATTATTAGAACATTGGATCTAATACAGCTAAAGTCTTTCAGATAGGATATCTTACAGTGGAATGTTACTCCTTCAGTGGTAAAGTGGGGAAAAAAAAAAGATACACTTTGGAGTCAAACTGGCTCATGTTAAAACCCTGAATTTTTTACTTATTAGTTGAATGACTAATAAGTTCTCTCTTTTTTATAAGCCTAGTTTCTTATCTGGATTAGGGGAATAAAACCATGTACCTCACCATATGTAAAGCTTAAAACAAAGTACATACTGTTTTTATAATATGATTAAAATAATATTTACATTGCTTTACAGTTATGTTTATGTAAAATGTGACACAGATGTAATAAAAATTTTGCCAGATAATGCAGCCATTCTGAAAAAGAGAAGAAAAGGCAGGCCTTAAAGGGACTGATTATCTGGGTACTCAGGGGGGACACTCAGAGGACAGGAATGCTACAGAGCCTATTAAGGAAAGAGCAGAATGGGTATAGAAAAGCAAACTGGTATATGCTAAAGATACCTTTCCTCTAATTTGCTAAACCATAAGAGCATCTGAATAACAAAGTGTTCCTCATCACCCCTTTCCCCAACTCTATTCCTAAATTAAAACATTAGGTGATTTCATAAGAAAACATAAAAAAAAAAACAAATTGCTATTATTAATTTAATGATCTAACTAAAAGTCATAGTTTCTGATAATCTAGCCAAATAATCGGCTTCCCATTTTCTCAAGATTTCAATCATGTATCTAAATTATCAGCCTAATGAAAAATCCTATCAGCCCCAAATTATATAAAAATTAGAAAATCGTAACTCACCAAATCTTCTAAATTGAGAAGTTGTTCAAATCCCTCGGGTATGCAAGTTAGTTCATTATGCTGGAGATACAGGCCCTTCAGGTTTCTTAGATACGTAATTTCTTCAGGGAGTATTTTCAGTTTGTTATGGCTATTAATTAATAAAGTAAATGCTGAATAATTTGTTGACAACATATTAAATATTTATAAAGTTTTTATGCTAAAACTACATGGAATCCTTAAAGGTATGAAATATGGTTATTAATTTTAAAGTTTTCAAACTTCATATATAAAAGTATACACATTGAAATACTCATCTAAAGCAATCAAATTGAGGGTTTCAAAAGAAAGCAACAAAGAAATAAAGGGTTTTAACCAAATAAATAATTTGTGAAATTTGGTTGCTTTCTTATAATCAACTCTTTATTTTACATGTAATGTGAAAGGATACACTGGACTCAATATTTTACATCGTATCTAAGTTTTAGAATTTTGACAAGGATGTGCACCCACACACTAAAATGGAGTCACATCTTACATGGGAGTAATGTTTTAAACCTAGCACTCAAGACAAAAATAGCTATTTTGTCTCAGGGCTGGTCCTGTCAATTTGAATGTAATATGAAACTCCATTCTTCTTTGTACTTAGTTAACTTTTCAGCTCAGTCCTTTTATAGAGATATTTAACTTACTGGTTTACAAAAATTCCCAAGCCACTAAGGATGACAGACTCCTTGATAATTGAGAGATGATTTAACTTGTTCCCAGATTTATCTCAACTATTCACTTAGGAATGCCACCCTATTTTCATGTCAAATACAATTATTTAACAAAAAATGGAGAAATGTAAAAGGGATAACTAACAATAACCTTAAATTATATTAAAATATAACTACTTAGAACAAAAATGCCAAAAGATGTGTTCTAAATAAGAACCACTAAATACTGTCAAAAATTGGTTACTATTGTTTTATGTAATTTAAATCTTTGTATATTTGACAGGGATCTAGTTGGCCAGAGTTGATATTCTAGCTATACAAGTCTTGTCCAGAAAGTATCCAGCTAAAAAGAGCCATTTACTGAAGAAGGTACAAGACACAAGAAATATTGTACAGAGGACAATGATGCCTCAGTCCCCTTCAAAGTAGGCACTTTGGGACCTCATACAGTTCTCTCAATCTCCATCAGCTGACCTGTTGTATTTTCCTGAATCTCATCAACAGTCTAAAATCTCTTCCCTTTCAAAGGTCATTTTAGTTCTGGGAAAAGCCAGAAGTCACAGGGCACCAAATCCGGGCTACAGTTTATCTGAGTCAGCTGGGTGATTTGATGTTTCACCAAAAAATTCTGCACGAGACCATGATGCAAGAACGGGCGTGTTGTCATGATGAAGCTGCCAATCACCAGTTGCCCATAGCTGAAGCCTTCTGAATCATCCACATAGTTTCCTCAAAGGAATGTTCAAACTTAATGCAAAATTTGTTGTAGGCTCATTGCTCTAATCACCTATTCATTTCAAATGCAATAGCCATACAAAGCTCACTCAACGATGACTACTGCCCCCCCCTCAACTAGTACAGTGAAGTCATTGTTGTTCACACATGCGCATTCCAGTCCACTCTCCTTGGCGCCAGGTTACATCAATGTCGTGCAAACAGTTCTCATTATATTAACAATGACTGGACTTTTTCTGGACAGACCTCGTATACTTCCTCCATTTCCTTTTGTCATGTCTTATTTCCTCCACTCTAATGAACCCGTTGGAAGCCAAAGCTAAAACCACACGTACTCCTTTCTCCCTCACCTCTGCTTCTCACTATTCCCTATTCTTGCTTTTGCAGGCCACATCCATGCCTTTGACTTGTAAGGAGAAGTTCTAATATAGTTTTAGACAATTAGCACCTTTTTTGTGTATAGATATTTTTCTCGATTTATCGTGACTTTTAGTTTTTCACAGGATGAGGACTGTTATTTGAGGTACTGGTTTTCCTTAAACCAGTTAACAAACCATAAAAGAGACTTGGCTGTGCTATGTTAAATAGACCTATAACTATATCTATTTTATAAACCATAGTTTTCAAATTGTTTTGAATACTTAAACCTTTTAGTTTTTTCTCCTAAACGAAATCTTCCCTAACTCATTTTCCCCTAATCTGTGTATATATAACATATAAGGCAGTTACTCTCTCTTGAAAATCTGGATGTGTAATGAAGAGCCACCCACTTTCCCATATACCTACCAATGAGTACCAGAAGCATATCATTAGAACCCCAGGAGTCCTCAGAAAAGATTAAATACCACTAATACCAAAACCATAAAATGTTTCATGGTTAACAAAAAAATTTTATTCAATTTCTTCCTATTTATTAATACTTATTCTTTATAATAACAAAGTAACTTAAAACTTGATATCAACACAGAGGTTTTCTAAAATAACCATGTAAAACTGTTTCATAAAAATAAAACAAAAGTATTTCTTAGTTCTGGCCAGTGTGGCTCAGTTGGTTGGGGAGTTGCCCATGGACCAAAAGGTCACAGGTTTGATCTCAGTCAGTGCACATACCCAGGTTGCAGGTTCAATCCCCTGCTGGAGAATGTGTGAGAAGGAAACTAATTGACGTTTCTCTCTCACATCAATGTATCTCTCTTTTATCTCTCCCCCTGCTGCCACCCCTCCTCTTGCTCACTCCCTCCAACTCTAAAAAGCAATGAAAAAAAAAAATCTCAGGTGAGGATTAAAAAAAAGTATTTTTAAAAAATCAAGTGGACTAAAATTTGTAAAACAAACAAAAAAAAAAAAAGTAGGTAATTCCTAAAAACAACACCACCACCACCACCCCTGAGAATTAAAACATACTATTTTTATTCTGCTTTAACCACTTCCTGATTTAATACAAAAATACTTTCCAGGATTAGAAAAAAATTTCTTTAAATATTAGATATAAGTTTAAATTTTACCTGACATTAAGTTTCTGAAGATTTTCTAATTCTCTTATAGCAGAAGGAAGAGACGTCAGCTGATTGTCATGTATCTAAAAGTCATTAAAAGAGTCAATATCTTAGTCTTTTAATTAACCTTATGTTAGCTTTTTCACTGTACACAATTCTTCAACAATAATCCCGTTCTTCTAATTCAATAGCATCAAGTTGGGATTGGTAATTTGTTCTGTGTATAGAAAAGGAAAAGGAGTTTGAAGTTGATCACTGCTGTTCAGATATCATGAAGTTATGTCATCATTATTAAGTATTACAATTAAAAAAAAACTTCACCTCACCAAGTGGAATTTCAATCTCAAATAAGAGATGGGAGAGTTAGAAACTAACAATAGCCTTCTGACGTATACAAAAAATAAGTGAGATGGGGGTGTAGGACTTCTCTCATGTTCCCAAAAGAATCATACTGTTTTCAAGGTACAAGGAACTTTAGAGAACACCTAAGCCAATCCATTCATTTTACAAATGAAAAATAAAAATAAAAATAAAAACTTCTCTAGAAATTTGACTAGATCTAACTTTTCAGACATGAATTGGAATATATTTGATGTTCTTAAGTAAAGGACATAGAAGTATGTTGATTATAAACTACACACACTTTATCACATGACATGGCAACAAGAGACTAAAAGGTAGTCCCTGAATACATACAAAAAAAATTTAAATCCAATAATTTAAGTCAATGTTGAAGGAAAGTTAAATTAATCTTAAGTACAATTGAGTTGACCCTTGAAGAACATGGGCTTGAACTTCACAGTTACACTTACACATAATTTTTTTTCCAGAAAATACTATATTTTCCTTTTCTTATCATTTTCTTAATAGCATTTTCATTCCTCTAGCTTAATTTAAGAATACAATATGTAATACATATAATATGCACAATACATGTTCACCTACTATTTATGCTATCAGTGAAGCTTCTAGTCAACAGTGGGCTATTGGTAATTAAGTTTTGGGGGAGACAAAAGTCATACATGAATTTCTCAAATGCACAGGGGGTTAGTGTCCCTAATTCCTCTGCACTGTACAAAAGTTAACTGTAGTTGCTTTAATATCTAGAATAATAATGATATTAAAATAACAGCAATGGAAATATATGAGTATCAGCAACCACTTGTTAGAAACCAATTCTATTTGTAGGCATTAACTCACATAATTCTAAGAACAATGTTTATAAATAGGTAGTAGTGCCAGTCCTGGTTTATAGATGTGGCAGCTGAGGCACAAAGAGGTAATTTCCCAAGTTTACACAGCTATCAAGTAGCAGAGTCAAAATTTGAAGGCTAATGTTCTAACTCTACACTCCTAAACATTATGTTATGCCTAAAAATAATCTGCTATCTTCCTCATGTTTTACCAGTTGCAAAGGGTTTTCTGCTTATTAAAGCCTAAATTTAGCTTTACAATCTCTTCAGCTAATGACCCATGTATATAAAAAGTCAACTTACATCAAGAACAGTGAGTGCAGGCAGGAGGCGGAGGTCATCTGTAAGTGACTGAAGTTTATTGTTGGATATTATTAATTTGGTCAAGTCCGTCTGCTCCCACCATCGCTCAGTAGCACTGAATGAAAGATTCTGATTAGCTTCCTCAGGAATATCCACATTTATTCTCCAGACACACTGAGGCACTATTGCCACCACAACCAGACCAAAAAATAAAAGGGACAGATAACAAGCAGTTAGATACTAAGTGACATATTTTTATAATAGCTCTTCAGTTTGCCTACTGAAAAGCAATTGCTGAAACAAAATAAAACTTCCAATAAGTCAAATAGCAATGAATTATAACTACATTAGAGAAAAAGTTGATTTTATTCAAAAACAATGTGATGGGTTTTACATATTAGTCTCACTTTTATTTTCATTCAACAATATTTACTACATATGTACTCCGCATAGCACCTAATGGTACATACATACAAGACAAAGAAGGGGTTCTACTGCTGTGCTAATAGAATAACAGAAGACGTGAAAAGCAACATTTATAAGGTAATGTTATAAACTTTATAACAGAAATATATATTAAGTCTGAGAAAGTACTGGTAATAATAATAATAATAGCTAATAACAGTAATAATATTTACAAATACCAGGCAATTTTCTAACATGCTAAGTCACTTAAAACTTGTAACAACTCTGTGAGGTTGGTTTGGGTAATTAATGTTGACTGGCGAGAGGCAATTGAAGGCTACAGCTAGATAAACACCTTCTATATTATGATAACAACAATTCCTTTCTTGACATATAAACTACAAGTACCATGTGCCTCTCCCATTTATATCTTTTCTCTCCTATGATATATTGTACATTCACCTATTTGACATTGTTTATTAAGTACCTAGTATGTGTCAGGTTCTGTTTATACAATAATAACCTAAAACACACTGACCCATGTCATTATGGAACTAAGAATCAAAATTCATTTGCACCCTAAAACTTTAACAGACTAAATTATCTGGATACAATCAGTAAGTAATTCCAACACACCACTTTGTTATTTGGAAATATACATTCACTCACTCCTTCCACAAATGTTTAGTAAGAATGCACTATGTACGAAGTAATATTTTGGGTCCTAGGAACACAACAATTAAAAAAAAAAACAAAAACACTAAACTCCTTGACCTCACAGAACTAACATTCTAGTGAGAGGGCAAGGAAGTCAATAAACAAACAAATACATACTATAAATTCTGAGAGTGATAAAGCTATTTAAAAATTAAACAGGTAAGAGAACAGGGTGTTAGCAATGGTATTTATAAATAGGATAATTAGAAAGGGCCTCTTTGATGTGTGACCTCTGCGCAGAGTCTTACAGGAAGCAAAGTATAAAGGAAAATGTTGAAAACCAAGTGGATATGCAAATCTGTAGTTTTAAAATACTTATGTTCCCATTTATTAAAAGCTTTATCGGGTAGAGCAGAGATTTTACGTCATATATCCTTTCCTTTCTACAGCAAGTATTTGCTTGGTATACTCCATACATGCCACAATAAAAAAAAAGAAAGCAACCATTAGAAGGAAAACTGAAGGTTTTAATCCAAGATAGCTTAAAACCTAACTATATACTGAGGAAAACGTTACAAAAAGAAGGCTGTATTGTTTCTTTCCCCACTTCCCACTCCCTCCGTTATACAACATATATAGAAGAGCATCTTCGTGATATCCAAATCTGTGCTTGCTCATCTTTATTAGGTTTATGAGGATGGCTTCAAATTCACTCTGTGTGGCATCTCTCTGGATCCACAATTTAGGAAATACGTTCATTATTCGTTTTATCTAGGACTCTGCCCAGTTGCATAAAGGAAAGTGTCTTACGAACGAGCAGTGGCATTCACTAAGTTCACAAAGGAGCTGATAAAGTACAGAATTTTAAATCAAATTCAGAGGAGGAAAATGAGGGCTAAAGAAACAAAGTTTTTGCTCCTTTGATAGCTAACTCAAGCCACACGTTATGTTGTTCATCCCATAGACCGTGGGAATCCCGAGAGGCGACCCTTTAAATTTTGTCCGTATTCCCCTCAGGGTCCCTTCACCAGACCTTCCCGGAGCGGAAGTAGCAACCAAAGCGGGCTGACTGAGACAATGGGAGTGTGATGAGAGCCTCAATGAAAGCAAGGGGATCCCGGTTAAAAGCTTGAAGCAAAGGGGAACAAAGCCAAGCCAGAGGAAAGGGAGGTGGCCTGGCACACGTGCTTTCTGACAGGGCGCTCGCTAATCGGGCCGTACCCTGGGCCTTACCTTCGCTGAGGTTCCGACCCGACAGGTTTAACTGACCGCTCTTCCTCGCCGCCTTTAACAGCCCCTGGGGTACTGAGGCAGCGCAGTCTCTCCTTTCAGTTCTAAAGCCCATTCGGGGATCCCGGTCCCCGCTTCCCTTCAGACGCGACATGTTCAAACGCTCGAGTCCTGCAGCAGATCCCCGCGCGTGACGCTAAAAGGCAGCGCCGCCGCGAGGCCCCACCCCTGCGGTGGGCGCGCGCTCAGTGTGCCGGGCTCGTGGCCTGGCGCGGGGCCTTCGCTCTTGGTGGCGCGGCCCGGATGTCGTCACTGTCCGTGACTGGGGCTGGAGGACAGAGAAGCCCTTCCCGTTGCCGGTGCTGGCCTTGTGTCTTGGAAGTACTTCGCTCAAGTAAGTGTGTTTAACCGGCTAAGGAAAGACTTGAGGGTGTATTGTGTGCAGTGTTACTGCGGCTCCATCTTTCTCATCTGTGCTTTCGCCGTGGCCAGGGTGTCGGGAAAGAATAACCTTCTCTTCCTTCTCCTGGCCTGGGCTGAACATGGGCCTTAACTAAAACTTGAGACCTGGGCGCGGTCTGCAGCCGAGCTGGAAGTCAGCCTGTGTTTGTCGCTGGTCGTGGTGGCGCCAGACCTTCGTCCGGCGTAGAAAATAAAAGAGAGATTTGTTCTTCGGGAATAGACTCCGATTCCTCGAAAAAGTGCACCTGGCTTGTTGTTGTATTGAGTTTATAGCACAGCATCGGGGGTAGTGTGAGGTGGAAGGATTGGCAACAGGGAAGGGAGGGGAAAAACGCTTAATAGGTGTTCAGTCTACCGAACGGTTTAGGGAGACAAGCGGAAGCGCGAGCTTTACTAAAGCGAAGACAGCTTGGACTTTGGAGCCCCAAAGATAATAGTTCGAATCCCAGCTCCTTCTGTATCTTACACGCTATGTAACTTTAAGCAGTTTACCCCTTTTAAAGTCACTCCTTTTTTTCTTACTAATTTAGGGATAATTTCTACCTCATTTAGTTTTTAATACAGTTAAAGCGAGCCCTGATACTTGTGACTCAGTTTGTTGGGCGTCCTTCTGCAAAGTGAAAGGTGGGCTGTTGGGTTGGGTTTCGGGTTAAGGCACATGCCTTGGTTGCTGTTGGATCCCCAGTCGGGGCGCGTAGGAGAGGCGACGGATGATGCTTCTTTCTCATATTGATGTTTCTCTCCTCTTCCTCCAGTACCCTCTCTCTAAAAATAAATAAATAAAATCTTGAGGAAAAAATAAATTAAGAAACTAAAGTTTTAAATATTGAGCATTTGGTGAAAAAAGGGACTCCAGAATAGGAAATGAAAACTTGGTTCAGTTAAGTCATTTTACCTGGAATAGTTTCTGTGTGAAATGTACAGCTTTATTGATTCATTAAACAAATAATTAAGAATTCATCTTTTCTAGTACTGTCCCGGGTGCTAGACTTTTTTTTTGCCTGAAGTGATTTTGTTTTAAAAAGCATCTACCGGAAAATAACTTCCTGAGCCCTTAGCTCGGCTGTGGATTAGTAGGATATTTGAAAGGTACGGTGACAAATTCTGCAGCGCACACACTTTTATCTGGGTCCTGGTTCTCGCTACATGTAAAATTCGTTTTTAAACCCCTCTCGCTTTTTTTCCCCCATATTTAATTTTGTAGAGTCCTGTACACTAAAAGTGAACAGCAGAAAAGTACCAACAGTTGTACTAACAAACAAGAAAAGAGTAAGTTTTAAAGCAAGGACCATGACAGTTTTTGCAAGGTCGCTAATGAGGTCCCCTCTCCCCAGTTTATCTTGACTGGGAGTCCCCTTACTTAGGAGTGTAGCCCCCTTACTTAGCCCTTACTAAGTGCCAGGATCATTGCTAATAATACCTCCTTTGCTATCTCTTATTTAGCACAATGGCCAATCTTGCAGATGAAGAAATTGAGGCTAAATGGACTAAGAAACTTGCCTAAGATCACAGGTTTCTATAAGTTACATGCCTGGAAGTTTTGAACCTAGATCTCTCTCCAAAACCTTTCTTATTAATCATGATTTGCTTAGTGGCTTTTACTCCATCATTTTTAACTTTTTATCCTGGAGCTATTTTAAGGGACCTTCAATTGTGCTTTAAAAGGGATTTATTTATTAGAGAAGCCCTTTTTCTCTTTTGTAAGTTTTAACAGCCTACTTTCAGGGGAAAATTTTACAATAGTCACCCCTCTCCTTATAATAAATTCTTAAACATTGTATTAATAATGTGCAAGGCTTAATTTGTTCTTTATTGTGCCTCTACTTGTTCAATGTTTCATATTAATGTTTATAGTATTATGCTGACACATTGTTGCACTTTGTATGAGAAACATTGCCTGTTTAATGGAAAAGTATGGTGATTGTGAAAGATCCAAGTGACTTACACTTTTGGTAAGCTACAATAGACATAAAGTGACATGTGGAAATTCTAGTATGTATCCATAGTACACTTATGTATTGTACCTGTGTAGCAAGTGCACATGAAGGTGAAAATTACTTCTTCATGCAATTTGGAAAATTACATGTCTATCTCAAATTGCTGGAAACCAAAAAGCTTATCAACTTGAATTGAGCTTTTTTTATGAGTATATTTATATATAATTATATTTGTGGGAATTAGCTTTTTATATCAATTGTATTATTTTAGGAAGAATGCATTACAGACTTTAAAAACTCAACCTTTTTCAGCATGAGCATTTAAGCAAAAGTGTATGCCTATTTTTTTAAAAAACTGAATTAAAATAATATGAAATAGATGTCTCCCTAACAGGAGATGAAGACTACTGCATACCTACTACCTTTCGGCAACAGAATTTGTCTATCTACAATTTAGTCATTTTAGTAAAGTAATGGAAGGTTTTACTCTTCTAGATGTTTTGCTAAATTAAAAAGTAAAAAAAAACACAATACATTGAGCATAAGAATTACGTCAGCCAGAAAATGCTGTTTTGTTTCATAAGGGAAAATAAGACTATTATCAAAATAAGAGTAGCTTATCTCCACCATTAAAATTTAATAACATTTTCAAACAATGGAATATACAGATCATGTATCATAGAAATCACTTGAAACCTATATAATCATATTAAACAATGTCACCCCAATAAATTAAATTTTAAAAAATTAATGACATTTCAGATATGACTGTATTATTCTTATAAACATTGCTATATGTTAGATTTTTTTTTAAGCTAAAAGGCACAATTTATAAGATGGATTTATTGAGGTAAAATGAGAAATTGTGTTAGAGGAAAATGACAATATGCAAAATTTTCAAAGACTTTTTTTTAAAAACATCAAATAAGAAAAGTGAATTTGCTTTGCAGACATTTCTAGGAACCTTCTCTTTGTGTAAAATAACACATTTAGATTTAGCTTTGAATCACTCTTGTTTATCTTTCAGAATATTGCCTTATCTGTGAAAACTCCTGTTTTTAATAATAAAGTTATTTATTGAGTGAACTTGTTACTTTTTAACATTGCCATTATTGGTCATTGGTTAATATTGCTTATTAAATGTTTTTGAGTTGAATTTTTTACATCCTCATATACTTGCTAATGAAAGGGGTTTTTTTTTTCTGTTTGTCTCTTTATTAGTAGGTTTCTTTAAATTATCAAAATTGAAAGCAAAATTATGTTAGACACTGGCTCTTGTTTTGAATATTCGACTTTAAAGGTGTTTGCTGTACATCTTTTAATTTCATTTGAAAAAATTCAGTGTGCAGTTTCACATTTGCTTTCCATTCAGGTCTGTAACAGCCAACTTTTAAAAGTAGTAAAAAAAGATTCTATTATTTCTTTGAATGAGGTACATATTTTGCATTTTTAGTCATAGTTTCAAATGTGGCTTTGAATTGTAATTTGTTGTTATTGGAGTTGTTTGTGGCATTTTTTTTATGGAGTGCATTTTATTTTAGATTATTCATTTGTGTATTTTTTGTTTCCATTTCTTTTCTTTGTTTTTTCCATTATAAAGTAATGAGCTTGCTCTAGGAGATATATATATTTTTTAAGATTTTATTCATTTATTTTTGGAGAGGGAGAGGAGCGAGAAAGGGAGAGAAACAGCAATGTGTAGTTGCCTCTTGTGTGCCACTGACTCCCACCCCTGCCACCGCCGGACCCTACCTGACTTGTAATTCTGGTGTGTGCCCCACACTGGGAACTGAACCGGGGAACCTTTGGTTCGCAGGCCGGCACTCAGTCCACTGAGCCACACCAGCCAGGGCAAGAGATTTAATATTTGATTCAAATGTTGGGTGATATAATTCTCTCTACTTTCAATACAAAAGAATTTTAGTCTATCAGCTTTAGGAAAACAATTTCACTTTCCTCTTATAAAAAGACTTCTACATACTAGTGTTTTTCATGGGAAGAAAGGTGGAACAACTACCTAAATATTATTTTCTTTAAATTCTGACTACTTTTAGTTTTCATTTTTGGTTTATGTTTATTGAAAAAAGAACCTGAAATTGAAGTGAATACAGCACTCTTCTTTATGTTATTAAATACAAATTCTATGGTATCATTTATTGGTTTTTCTCAAATCAGCTAAAAGTATTTCCCATTATTCCCAGTGATTCTTCCTCCTAACCTTTAATGACTATTTTGCTCATTTTTCAAGATTACTGTGTTCTACGGCCTAAAGTCTTAATTTTAATATTAACTGTATAGGCTTTATGAATTTTTTTTTGCTTTAAAATGATAAAGTAATATAGAGAGAAAATTAGGGTGCCAAACCCTAGAAGGTACTTCATAGTAGCATTCTGTCTTTGTTTTAGACACATACAAAACCACTACCAAATAAATATATTTAGAAATTAGTTTAATTAAAATCCCCTAATTTAAAAATGTGACTTCATGTCACCATCTGCCAATAGCTTTGTTGTAATGGATTCAACTTGCAACTTCACTTGCTCCATACTCCAAAAAAGGGGACCATAAATGATTATATTGATACATGGCAAAAATTTCTATATAAGGAAAGTTCCTCAACAGTTTTAATAAGACAAAATATGGTCGCCAAGACTTTATTTTTAGTGTCAACTTATGGTGATAAGGGAGGAAAATGTGGATAATTTGATAGTTTATTGACAATCACAATCAGATTTTTAATTTAACAATTTTGATACGTAAATTTCAAATTGGAATATTTATACTCACAATTACAATTAAT